TATTGAGATATACCTGTATGTATTGAGATATACCTGTACATCTTGAGATATACCTGTATGTATTGAGATATACCTGCATGTATTGAGATATACCTGTATGTATTAAGATATACCTGTACATGTTGAGATATACATGTACATCTTGAGATATACCTGTATGTATTGAGATATACCTGTACATCTTGAGATATACCCGTATGTATTGAGATATACCGGTATGTATTGAGATATCCCTGTATGTATTGAGATATAACTGTATGTATTGAGATATACCGGTATGTATTGAGATATCCCTGTATGTATTAAGATATACCTTTATGTATTGAGATATACCTGCATGTATTGAGATCTACCTGTATGTATTAAGATATACCTGTATGTATTGGGATATACCTGTATGCATTGAGATATACCTGTATGCATTGAGATATACCTGTACAGCTTAAGATATACCTGTATGTATTGAGATATACCTGTACATGTTGAGATATACCTGTACATGTTGAGATATACCTGTAAACATAGAGATATACCTGAACATGTTGAGATATACCTGTATGTATTGAGATATACCTGTATGTATTGAGATATACCTGTATGTATTAAGATATACCTGTACATGTTGAGATATACCTGTACATGTTGAGATATACCTGTATGTATTGAGATATACCTGTATGTATTGAGCTATACCTGTATATATTGAGATATACCTGTTCATGTTGAGATATACCTGTATGTATTAAGATATACCTGTACATGTTGAGATATACCGGCATATATTGAGATATACCTGTATGTATGTATTGAGATATACCTGTACATCTTGAGATATACCTGTATGTATTGTGATATAACTGTAAATATAGAGATATACCTGTACGTATTGAGATATACCTGTAAATATAGAGATCTACCTGTATGTATTGAGATATACGTGTACATGTTGAGATATACCTGTATATATTGAGATATATACAGGTATAGCTCAATACATACAGGTATAGCTCAATACATACAGGTATATCTCTATATTCACAGGTATATCTGAATCCATACAGGTATATCTCTATATTTACAGTTATATCACAATACATACAGGTATATCTCAACATGAACAGGTATATCTCAATATATACCTGTATGTATTGAGCTATACCTGTATATATTGAGATATACCTGTATGTATTGATATATACCTGTACGTATTGATATATACCTGTATGTATTGAAATATACCTGTATGTATTGAGATATACCTGTACATCTTGAGATATACCTGTATGTATTGACATATACCTGTAAATATAGAGATATACCTGTATGTATTCAGATATACCTGTAAATATAGAGATCTACCTGTATGTATTGAGATATAGCTGTAAATATAGAGATATACCTGCATGTATTGAGATATACCTTTATGTATTGAGATATACCTGTAAATGTTAAGATATACCTGTATGTATTGAGACATACCTGTACATGTTGAGATATACCTGCATATATTGAGATATACCTGTATGTACTGAGATATACCTGTAAATATAGAGATATACCTGTATGTATTGATATATACCTGTACGTATTGATATATACCTGTATGCATTGAAATATACCTGTATGTATTGAGATATACCTGTAAATGTTGAGATATACCTGTATGTATTGAGATATACCTGTATGTATTACCTGTACATGTTGAGATATACCTGCATATATTGAGATATACCTGTATGTATTGAGATATACCTGCATGTATTGAGATATACCTTTATGTATTGAGATATACATGTACATGTTGAGATATACCTGTTCGTGTTGAGATATACCTGTATGTATTGAGATATACCTGTTCATGTTGAGATATACCTGTATGTATTGAGATATACCTGCATGTATTGGGATATACCTTTATGTATTGAGATATACCTGTATGTATTGAGATATACCTGCATGTATTGAGATATACCTTTATGTATTGAGATATACCTGTACATGTTGAGATATACCTGTATGTATTGAGATATACCTGTTCATGTTGAGATATACTTGTATGAATTGAGATATACCTGTACATGTTGAGATATACCTGTATGTATTGAGATATACCTGCATGTATTGAGATATACCTTTATGTATTGAGATATACATGTACATGTTGAGATATACCTGTTCCTGTTGAGATATACCTGTATGTATTGAGATATACCTGTTCATGTTGAGATATACTTGTATGAATTGAGATATACCTGTACATGTTGAGATATACCTGTATGTATTGAGATATACCTGGACATGTTGAGATATACCTGTATGTATTGAAATATACCTGGACATATTAAAGCATGAATTTGTATGCAACCAATTTGCATTCATACCGGCATGAACATTGAAAAAAATACCGTTCATATATACCTGTATGTATTCAGATATACCTGTAAATATAGAGATATACCTGTATGTATTGAGATATGCCTGTAAATATAGAGATCTACCTGTATGTATTGAGATATACCTGTATGTATTGATATATACCTGTACGCATTGATATATACCTGTATGCATTGAAATATACCTGTATGTATTGAGATATACCTGTACATGTTGAGATATACCTGTATGTATTGAAATATACCTGTACATATTAAAGCATGAATTTGTATGCAACCAATTTGCATTCATACCGGCATGAACATTGAAAAAAATACCGTTCATTCCTTATATGAACAAGCATATTTTTATGTATACAGGTACGTTTTAATATGAACTGGCATATCTCAATATATGCAGGTATATTTGAAAATTTACAGGCATATTTAGGTATTGTCAGCGCAAACAAGAATCCTGGAACAGCTTAACGTAGCCAAAATGTTTGATTCTAGCGGTCGTCTCATGTTAATCGAGACGGGAGGAGAAGTTACAAAATGACGCTGATTGAAGCGTCATAAAGCTATGAACGCAACTCTCC